TTATCGTTAACATTACCATTATGATCAATAATATCATTACGACCAATCATATCTTCATGGAGGCGCTATGATCGTAAACATTCATAAATTAGTTAACTGATTAAACCAGATGAAACAAACGATCATGAATTGGCTCAGTAAAAATGATCATTTATTCAATACTACATTACCTTGAGATGTTCAGGCAAGATTAACAAATTAATAAACAAAATAAACCTGCGTAATACATGATATTCAAATCTTTGCGCTCATTGTGAAATTTGAGCTGGAAAACGATTCAAAATCTTTTCTTATGAAAATAAAAATGTAAACCACATTTTTTCCCATTAGGCGCAGCATCTAAAGAAGAGAGAGAGAAAAAAGAGAGAGAAAGAGAGAGAGAGAGAGAGAGAGAGAGAGAGAGAGAGAGAGAGAGAGAGAGAGAGAGAGAGAGAGAGAGAGAGAGAGAGAGAGAGAGAGAGAGAGGGAGGGAGAGACAAACAGACAGACAGACGGAGACAACGACATAGATCCTCTCCTGTCCTACTTCATGACTTAGTGACAAAGCACAAAAAAGGGTTAAAACTCGAGCAACAGCTTATATTTCCGACTGCTTATTTCCCCTTTAAAGCATATCCGTGGCTGGAAATCCCTCAACGTGAAGCATATTTATAGAGCAGGAACTTTGGTCAGAGAATGGAGAGACATCAAGCTAAAAGATGGATTACACGTTATAAAAAAATAGGCTATTTTCTTCTCGTCTTCTCTCTTCTCCGTCTTGCAATCCTTATGACATCACCATCATTATCATCATCATCATCATTATCATTATCATTATCATCATCATCATCATCATCATCAATCATCATTATCATCATCATTGTCATCATCATTATCGTCATCATCATCATCGTCATCATCATCATCATTATCATCATCCTCATCATCATAGTCTTATAAGTGATGATAGTAATAAATTACAAGGATTTTAATGAAACAAATAACAAAACAACACTAATACTAAAATAATAACAAAATGATAATAATGACGATAATGATAATAACAATGATAACTAAAATAACAATAGCAATTGATTATAACAACAATAGTAACGGTAACGATAACAATAAAAGTAGTACTAACAATCATGATAATGTCCATGATAATTGATTATAATAATGTTAATGATACTAATATGATTAATATAACACCAGTAATAACATTAATAATGATAATGATAGTGTCAAAAGTAATAGTAATGATGATAGAGATAAAGACATTAATCCTAATGACGGTGATGATAGTAATGATAAAAATGATAGCATAATGACAATAAAACAATTATCATTATTATTATTATCATTATCATCATTATCATTGCTATTATTCATATTATCATTATTATTACTATTTTATCATAATCAATAATAATGATAATGGAAATAATGATAATGACATTAATAATAATGATCATTATAATAATGATACGAATAATGAGGATGATAATATGATAATAATACTGATAATAATGATAGTATTAATAATTATGGTAATAACAATAATAGTAACAATAATGATGATGATGATAGTAATAATGATGATAATGACAATGATAATAACAGCATCATTAGTATTATTATTATCATTTTTGTTATTATTACCATTATTATTATTTTTATTATTTTACCTATAATGATAATAATAACGATGATGATAACTATAATAAAATAAGAACAATAATATTAAAACGATAATAATGATGATGATAATAATAACAATAATGATAATAACAATAATTATAATAATTATAATGCTGATTAAAAAAATAATGACAATAAAAATGACAATAAGAATGATAACAATGATAAAAAGGATAACGATAATAATAATAATGGTGACATCATTTATAAAATCATTAATAACAAGAACAATCATAGTAATGGCAACGATGATAACAATAAAACAACTACAATACAAATAATAGCAGAAATAATAATGATAAGGATAATAAAATACTGTAATAATGATGACATCAACAAAAAAAAGAGTAATTGTAATGATAATGGCAATGATAAAGAATATTCTCATAACGATGGATATATTGATGACAATTAAAATACTCGCAATGGTAACACTGAAAGCTCATGCCATTGCTGGAAACAATAATAGACATTACAGATATAAACACGCACCCCATCTTCAGCACCGAATAACCCTTTCCAGCCCACACAAAACACAAAGGCAATTGCAACAAACATCAGATGCAACGCCACGCAACAATTCCCAGCTGTTCGCATCTCAAAACAATACACGGGCGACGAGCTCCATGTCTCTCGCACACACGCCAAAGAGGATTTAATTGGCGTGACACTTCAGCGCTCATGAGGCCACCTGCCGAGGCTCCGTGACTGCTCGTCATCGGCCAATATCAACAGCTGGCGTGAGGGGGTTAGGGGAATGGGCAGAGGGTTGTTAGGTGGTAGTTGTTAGATGGTTGGGTTTGATGATTTAGTTGTGAGG